TTTATGTAAGCGTTATATACATGATTTTATGTACGATTCTGACTGGTTTTGTTAAAATTAAAAAAACTGAATGAAAAAAGTAAAATTCGCGTAGGTATACCTGTTTCACCTTGGCAGGTTGTCAGGAACTGTTCCACTTTGGCAGGTTGTCAGGACCTGTTTCACCTTATCAGGTAGTTCAGGTAGGCAATAAAGTAGCACTTTATTTTACTAGTAAAATAAAGTAGCACACAAGGTAGGGGGTGTTCACTTTATACTGGAGCACCCTGTACCTGGCATATGGGGACGCCACCTTTGAAAATAAGTTGAACTGGGGGAAAAAAAACGTTCATTGAAAGAAAAATGAGAAACAAAAATCCTTCAAATTTGATAACAGATGCATTACATTTTACTATACGATCACTTTCCGGCTGCCATTTTTTTATTTGTCTATCGATATCAACGAAACTTGGTAGGGTCATGGGCGTCGTTACGAGGTTTCTCAGGGGGGGGCAGCACTATAATAAGATCATTTCCAATAGCACCGCTGGTAATCGCCGGAGGCGAAATTTTTTTTGGTGCCACGTCCCTTTTTTGAACATTTTAACGTACTTATTTGATATCGATATATAGTTAAAAATTATGGTATTTTTTTCCGCAACAAATTCACTGTCCCCATCATTTGTTTAAGCTACGTTTACACTTGGAAAGTTTACTAAGGGCCAAATTCTGGACTGACTGGTAAACGTCTGGTTGTTACCTAACAGGTACTTTCTATGCACTAGAGAATAGAAAGTACCTGCTAGGTAACAACCAGACACTTACCAGTTGGTCCATAATTTGGCCCTAAAGGAAAGTACTTGCCGCCACTAAACTTGTCATGTGTAAACCACAGGAAAGTGCACTTGCTACTTGCCGGCAAGCAAGCACTTTCCAAAAGTTGATGGACTGGCTAGTTTACTTGCCGCTACGCCAAAATTTTGTTTGTACTTTCCGTGTGTAAACGGGCACAAAAACAGGCTTCCTCGTTTCTGTATAAAACAGGCGTCCTCGTTTCTGTATGAATACCTACTACAAGGAAGCAAAACTATCACCAGTGGCAAGATATCGTAATGTGACTTCCAATTTGATTTTAGGAGAAATAAGACTTTTCATCTACGTTTCTGACTTTGTCAGTTTAGGCTTGGTTCAAGGTTCAACTAGTCTTAACGGTTCTTGAAATTTTTGGTATGATAATCTCATAAAATTCCTATAAGAATCAGGATCTTCAATTGATATTTCCTTCAAGAGTCGTTTCGACGCTCCCAGAAGAGTGGGTACTTCTACGTCTGATCCAATCTCTAACCCAAACTCGTTTTTTCCTATTTTTCTTGCGTTCTAGCACGCACTACCCTACTTGGAGCCATTTTATTTTCTACTGTTTGGCAAATAAACTTGAAAATATGTAAACACAAAACAATGAATAAGTTTAGTGACCGCAAGTACTTTCCAAGTGTAAACGTAGCTTTAGGTAATTGGCATTACGCCAGACTATCAGGGGCGGATGGGGCCCCTCAGACCGGCGCGGGAAGTCGATTCAAACGGCGCCGCGCCTGTCCAGCAAAAAAATCGAAAAGCATAAAACTCATTATCATTACTATAGAATTCCTTGCTAGGCAACATTTGCAGAAATGCGTCATCATAGTCGTTGGACCGTTGGACAGTGTCCATTGGTGCCAACGAATCAAGCGATCGCATACCCTTTTGTATTGTTGACAGGACTCCTCAACGGACACTGTGAGCTCGACAGACATCTGCACTTGATGGGCATCGTAGATGACCCTGAATGCAGATTCTGTCTGGAGGATGAAGAAACCTCCATCCATGTCCTTACCGAATGTCCAGCTATAGCCAGGATCAGAACGGTGTACTTCGGCAGACACGTTATTGACCCCGAAGACATAAGAAAGGTTCAGCCTCGAAAGCTCGGTGCATTTGTCAGAGCCGCGGGGCTAGTTTAAACAAAAGTGGGCGCACAACGAGTCCGGATAGGCGGCCTACGTTCAATGAATGTACATTCGCCCATAGGAATGAGGATAAAAAATACCCTTTTATTAAGTTGAATAAAGACAAGACGCGCAAAACTTAAAATTTGTGCGTAGAATCCGAAATTCGTATATAGAGTTCTTGGGCGGGTTGGAACAGATCTGATGAAATTACCTACTGCTGAAAATCTGCGCTGCGGCGCTCGTGTTTCTACTCCATTTGCATGCATAAGGATGATAGAAAGACGAACGCGGAGGTACCTCAAAACGGAACAGCAAGCGAGGCAATATGTGCGATGAATATGAAACATTAGGAATTGTACCTATATAATACATAAGTATGATTTACAGAGTTCCAGAGTTGCAAAGTTGCCAACTGCCAAATCAATTAATATAATAAAATAAGCTAGGCAGGTGGAGAAGTAAGTTTCATGAAACTTGTTGCAAGGAACTGGAAAAATGTTTCATTATCACACAACACAACTCATACATTCAAATGAGGCGGAGCTCACAGACGTTTCTGAAACAGGAGGGCAGAAATTGTGTGGGCAGTGTACTCCGCGCTTCGCCTTATTTGAGTAAAATAGGTAGGTATGTGTCGTATGATGACGAAAACAAATTTCCTGTTTCTTGTATCAAGTTTCATGAAACTTATTTCTACAATGTGTCACCTGCTTTAGCTATCTGGCTATTTTGCTTTTTCAATCATCTTAGAACTTCCAGCGGCGGCGCCTATCGGCGCCTGAAGGACCGCGCACCGGAAAATCTCCCGGTATCCCGGTATCCCGGTGGGCCCATCCGCCCCTGCAGACTATAAAAAAGGTACCTAACAAATTTTGAAAAAATGGAAAAAAGCAATACGAATACGAACTATCTTTTACTTCTTTCTTGTTCAAAATACTATTTCTAGGCGGGGCTAGGGGGGGGCAAATGCCCCCCCCAAACGACGCCCATGGGTAGGGTTGATATTCTAACCAAACGCCATTTTTATGCATTTATGAAAAGTTTTCCTGACTTCCGGTTTTACCAGAAATGACCAAAACTTTTGATTTTTAAAGGGCACACCCTGTATATTTTTTGTATTTCGGATTCTACAGATCGTTTCACGTCCTAATGCACCGCAAATATACAGGGTGTGCTATTCAAAAATCAAAAGATTCGGTAAAACCGAAAGTCAGGAAAACTTGTCGTGGATGCAAAAAAATGGCGTTTCATCAGAATATCAAGCCTTCCAAGTTTCGTTGATATCGATGAACAAATAAAAAAATGGCAGCAGGAAAGTAATCTCGTGGGCACCCGGTATATCTATCCACAAGTCCCCTCCGGCATCTCCGGATGTTGCTTGATGTTGGGTTAGTTTGGATTAGTTGAGTTAGTTGAGATGGTTGGAAAAGGAGATCCAAGGATACTACACACTACACAGGATATCCTATCCTCATAAGGCCTGTGTAGATCAAATCTCAAGCCTCCACTGTACCACGCCAAAGTACCAGTTATGACGTAGGAATCGGGTCGATTCTCGTTTCGACGTAGGGTGTTTACACCACAGGCTATCATTTCCCTGGCTTTTGCTTTATGCATACTTGTGTTAGTACATTAATTAACATTCTAAAAGAACCCTTTTCAGATCTCGTCTGCATCTTCCTCGTTGCCTATTAGTTATGTTAATCAAAATTAAATAATATTTTTCATCATAAATGTATATTCTAAACTACGACCGCTGGCGCAAACAGTTAACGACACCGTTGATGATGTCACCAACGGTGCAACACCATATGATCTTGATTCCAAAAATCAAGGCCGATAAGCAATCCTGTAGTAGTGTATTTATCCTTGAGGGAGACCGTAGGTAACGACGACGCGTGCGTTTCGGAGAATTTTTCTGGGAGAAGCAGGATTGCGCTGTTGCTAATTCGGAGAAAACACCTATAGACTGTGAGAGAGGGCCTGTTTAGTGGAGTCTGCCTCCCGTTCGAAAATTTGCAGAAGAAAAAAATTGATTTACATGAAGATTTTTTTTCTAATGATCTCAAATTTTTTGACTTCTAAATAAAAGATTGACATTGATAAATAATTCATCCATAAAAAATACCACATGCTTTTCAATAGCTAGAAAGGTGGGGATGAGTGTCAACTTCCAAGAAAAAAGAAAAGAACCTTCCGCGTTTACTTTTTGTCTGGTAATCGAGAGAATGAAAGGTTTTGTTGTGAAAATATCGCTGAAAAATCGCCAGACGGTAATCCCAGTTCGAAGTCGAGTTTTCCGGCGAAACATTCTGTGGACATTTCGAACAGGTGACAAGCATTAAAACCACCTATATTCTCATCAGCTAACTAGCCACATTCATCCCTCAAAATGCCAGACAAAAAAAAATGACTCCACTAAACAGGCCCTATCTCACGGTCTACTAGTAATCCCTAGCCCGGAGACCATATGCGAAAACCCGTAGACTCCGGGTGAAACCCGGAGAGGTGACAACCCTACAGTGGCATAGTCGCCGGAGGATATCGCCGAAGGCGAAAGAATTTTTCGGATTCCACGCTCAAAAACGTTTATTTTTCTTAAAAAAATAAAAAATTATTCAGTTCAATGGGGGGGGGGGTTTGAACCCCCAAAACCCCCCCCTTATATACGTCCTTGGAGACCTCCCACCACCTTATCTCGCCCCCCACTTATCAGGACTTTTAGTATGTTGTTCAGGACACCTCACCATAAATACATCTAAGGTTTGGAAACTTCGCTCCGGATATTTTATGGTTTATATTGTCGTAATTGATCTTGCAAATTTTCCAATTTATTAATGATTTTAATTATACGATAACAATTCCAAAAAAAAAAAACTAAAGCATGCAAAGTATTTTAACAAAAACTGAACTAAAAGAAAAACACGCGTTTCTTGGATATTCTTGTTCCTAACTTTTTTCTTTTTCGTGCTCTACGACGCTGGAAAATTATTTAACAAAACTCAAATTGCCAACATTCAACAAAATTCTCACCTGTTTTCTCGCAATATTCCTCGGTGGCTTGACCACACTATCAATATAGGCCAATTTCGTTTGTCGCACTGGCATCGACTTATCTTGACTCTGCTTAATATTGGCTGTCAAGGCTTTCAATTTGGCCTCCCTCTCGTCCAAACATCTCAAATACATTTCCCTTCCCGACTCCATTTCTTCCTTCTTCTTATTTCTAAATTCTTTCTGGCAATGCAACTGCCACAATTCATCGCTGTCCTCGATCAGGTACGGATTGTGGAATTCTAGCTGATAGAGTTGGTCAGGATTGGCTTTTTCTAAAATCGGTTTCAGGATAGAGTACGGTACTCCGCCAGTATACTCTAGAGCGTCTATGTTGTCTTGTAAGATTCTACAGCAAATATCAAAGAGGCTGGGTACTTTTGTGTAGGTGGTTTTATTTCCCGAATATACTTTTGTTCTGAAAATTAAAGTAATACATTGAGATCAAGGATCTGAAAAAGAGTCATTCTAATCCTATTGGCAACAAAGTTAGTCTAAAAGTAGTGTGAGTATAATTATGAAAATTTTCACAAAATCTCTTGAATTAATTGGAATGCACTATTATTTTATGAATAATTACTTACCTCTGATGTTTTGCAGTTATTACTCTAGACAAAGCTTCATCATCTGTCAAATTTCTCCTAAACCCATCGAATGACACTCCAAGAGGCTTATAATGAGGTGTAATCTGTGGTAGTAGATTTGATATGTCAATATCTTCAGGTAGTGGCTCTAAATTAGTTGGAGTCTTGAATAAATCAACTTCTTCTACCCCTACATTTTTTGAATTTGTTGCTTCGCTAGTTTTGTAATGACTTTTTGATGGTGATGTTCCATTTGAACTACTACTTTTTGATGATGATTCTTTTGAACTGCTTCTTTTTGATGATGATTCTTTTGAACTGCTTCTTTTTGACGATGATTCTTTTGAACTGCTTCTTTTTGACGATGATTCTTTCGAATTGCTACTTTTTGGAGATGATTCCTTAGAACTGCTACGTTTTGATGATGATTTTTTTGAACTACTACTTTTTGAAGATGTTCCATTTGAACTACTGCTTTTAGATGGTTGACTAATGTCTACAATCTTTTTTTTGGGTTTAGTGGTCACTGGAGCTAACATGCCCAAAGCTGCAGCGAAGCTGGTTCCAGAACCAGAATCTATGCAGTCCAAGTCGACCATTTTTGAAACGGAGGATTTGGGTTTGTCTTTTGAAGAGGATTTTTTTTTGTCTGTATCTTTCCTGCTGCTATCTTCCGATTTCTTTTTATCTTTATCCCTATTTTTACTTGAAGATGAATCTTGATTATCTGAATATTCATTTTTCTGTCTTTTGGCTTCTTTGTCTGCAGAAGACTCCCTATGTCTTTTTTTTTCCTCAGAGGTTTTCCCGTTTTCCCTGTGAGACCTAGAACTTTCTTTCTTTTTGTCATGACTCCTGCTAGAAGACTTTTTGTCTTTTTCATGTTTGATTTCTGATCTACTTTTTGAACTAGCCTCTTTTTTCGAACTAGATTCCTTTTCAGATTTTGATTTACTATGATCTCTTGATTTATCTTTACTGGAATGATACTTGTCTCTGGATTTATGCGTATCTCTGTCACTATCTGAACTAGATTTTTTGTATCTTCTGTCCTTGGATTCCTTGCTACTTTTCGATTTATGTTTTGCACTAGATGAATATTCTTGACTATCATTACTAGAATCATCACCAGACTCTGAAGACGATTTTCTTGACTTGTATTTAGTTTTTGATGATCTTTCTCTAGAACTATCCGAGGACTCTGAATCACTATCACTATCCTTTTCATTTCTATAGTTTTTGCTAGACTTATGCCTTTTGGATTGATGATTTGACCCAGAAGAATCACTATCACTGCTAGTCTGCCTCTTAGATTTTTTATGACGACTTGAATTCTTACTACTATGTGATTGCCTATTTGAACTACTTGATTGCCTATGACTAGAATTATTAATCACTTCAATGTTTTCTTCTGTTGTCTCTTCTTCCGGTTCAATTATTTGGAGATTATCTGAAATGAAAGAATATTTATATCTTTATTCTGTAACGTTGGATTGATTTGAAAATAAAAATAAGAAAAACTTTGAAACGTCATCTTTTATATAATATGTAGTAATAATCAGTTGAACAAAACAAATATTAAAAGGGGCAGACGGGGAAGCTTTGAAGCTTAATTAAAATTTAATGAAAATAGTCCAGACATCCATATTTTATTGATACAGATATTCATCATTTATGAGAACATTAGAGAAGAGAATTTATGTTGAGAAGAATTGCAATTATTAAAATGAGTTTCTCTCATGAATCACCTAACATGATAATTGTCCATTTGTTTTTTTGACCTAAGACTTCTACTAGATTCATAATTTGTGTTACGTAATCCCTTATTGTATGCATTATTGATAAATTTAAGTCCATTGTTTTTGTTTGGTGTAGATTGATTGTATGATAATAAATAAGTAAATAAATTCGTAAACAGAAACACTGTTTCTAGACAAAAACTAAAAAAATGCATTATTGACTTGAAATATTGAAAATACAAATTTGGAAAATTCTCAAGAATCAACTTTGAAAAAGTTTCAAATGCTCTAAATTGTGATAAAACGGTACCTGTATGCCTGTTATAGCAAAGAACAGGAAAAGAGGAACTGCTACTTGCGATAAAATCGCTCTAGAATTGAATTCTGTTAGGGGGTGTGACGTTAAATTGTAAATGTATTAAAAACTAATATTCTAATATACTACTGGATTTTAGAAAATTATGAAATCTTGGGGGCTTACTAGCAGAAGTGGAAAAGTATTGACTGTAGATGAGTTGAGCCCTGATGAGGTGAACAAATATTTCAGTGAATGTGCAAATGATATAAATTCAGGTAATGAGCTGCCCGACACATTTTATGCCCTCTCAGAAACGGCTCAAGCAAAATTCAGCCTAACCTGTACTAACTTGGATGAACTACATAAAACTCTACAGTCAATGAAATCTAACGCTATAGGTCTAGATAGCATTTCGATCTAGATGTTAAAGTTGGCTTTTCCATTTCGTGGCTCGGCCCTTCTGAACACTGTCAACTCATCTGATCATTGTCAATATAATACTCCTTCAGAAAAAAGAAAATATCACAGATCCATCAAACCTTCGCCCAATCAGCATTTTGCCGCCTGCTTCAAAGATAGTTGGAAAACTTGAGCATCAGCAACTTTCATCATTTGTTGAAGAAAACGACATATTGCTTAATGAACAATCAGGATTCAGAAAATTGTATAGTACCAGCACGGCATTGTTTTAAAGATAAATGACGACATACTGATCTCTTTGGACAGGAATCGAATAAACATCCTTATCTTTTTAAACATGTCCAAAGCATTTGATAGTATGAATCGCGCCCTTCTGCTCTCGAAGCTTTCGTGTTATGGTGTTCAGGAATACCTTTAGAATGGTTTAAGACTTACTTGTTTAACAGACACCAAACTATCTAACTGAGAAGCAAAACTGGCCCAGAACTGCCCAGGAATTGGTTGTGCAGAAGAGAGCGCCACAGGAGTCAATTTCAGGTCCTTTGCTGTTTAATGTGTTTCTCATAGACTTGAAACGCAGCATAAAGTATTGTAAAGGTCATTGTTACGCAGATGACATACAGCTTATGTATGATTTTAACTTTCAAGACATCGACAAGGCAATTAGTTCAATCAACGAAGATTTGCGAAGTTTAATCCAATGGACAAATATGAACGGTCTTAAAGTTAATATGTCTAAAACTGATGCCATTGTGTTTGAAGGTAGAAGGAATGTGAAAGAAATCTTGGCTGGTCAGCATACTTCGAACAGTGAAGCATTAAGATTTAGTGAATATGTTAGAAACTTGGGACTTATCATGGACAAAAAACTGAACTATGCAAAACAAGTAACGTCCCTAAGTAGATCTTCTTCTCTTACATTAAAGTGATTTTATAATTTAAAAAACTATCTTTCCCAAAGTGCAAAGTTAAGGTTGTGCGATACTCTCCAAATTAGACTACTGTAGTAGTGTGTTCAAGATGCAAGAAGGCTACAAGAAATTCAGAATTCTTGCGTTCGTTTCGCATTACAAATCCCACGAAGAAACAATATTTCTCCATACTTGAAAGATATTCAGTGGCTGAGCATGAATGAAATAAGATGGGTGCATCTCTGCATTTTCATACACAAGGTGATTTTGGCATTGGCTAAACAAACAAATATAAGACCCATTATAGTCTGGGCGCACAAGAACTTTTTATTCAACATTAGTGATTCACCCATTAAGGCACCGGCTACTCAGTTTCATTTGTCTCCTGCGAAGATGACGACTCTCAAATGCTTTTTATGCTTTTTATGCTTTGTGCAATGCGTGCATAAGGCTAGACCCAGGGAGAATGAGATTTTTGATGCCTCGAGTGACTCCTGCAGAAGGAATATTTGTAAAGAATGTGCTGGTATCGCCACCACCGAAGCACATGCAGTGGTTCTTTCACAAAGATCAATTTTGTTTTATTGTAAAGGCTGTTTGACTGAGCTGCAGAATATAAAGGTATTATCGGATTCTCTTTATAAGGCAAGGGCTCAATGTGAAGAAAGGGATACTGTGATTGAAATGTTGCAGTCCAAGTGCGATTTAATCTATAGAACATCCCAGACACAAGTGGAACGGCTTGCTTTGAAATCTAATCTTCTGACGAGTATTGAAGAGGGAAAATGAGATTTATGTGAATGACCTGAAAAGAAGTAAACTGGATTATTCTGATCTTCAGGAAAGGATAAGTGCGAATGTTGCAGTTAACAAGGTTTTGTGTGACAGCGCATGTTAGTGTAAGGTTGGAACATAGGGTTGGAAATGTAGATTTTACCCAGTCTAGTATCGTTCCCAAGATTGATCCCGTTATGGTTCGCTCACAAGGGTCCAGTGAGGATGACAGTAAACAATCCAATATAAATATACTATTGCTATCAGATCAAGGTGGAAGACCTCTTGGCAATGCGCTGAGGAAAAACCTTTCAAAATATGGGGATAAATATAAATACAGGGTGTTCCGAAACTATTGTGCCAAAAATTAAGGGACGATACATCTCGCCAAAATAAACGTTTTTTACTTATAAACCCATAGGCGCATGCGCTTAGGTTAGGTGATAATAGCACACAGTCCGCGCTGTGGTTGCTACGTTGCGCATGAAGAATCGTGTTTGAAGCAGAAACTGTGTTATTAAATAGTACAGAAATCCCAGGAATGCTTGCAGTATTTATTAAAAACAATGATTCACATCAGAAGATGCTCAAAATTACGACCACCCTCAATGCATGCGTAACAGCGCTATAGCATAGCGTGCTGAACACGTTGAAAAATTCCTGGCGTTTCGCGAATTTCAGCAGCTGCTGCAACAATCCTTCCCACTAACTAATCCTCGGTTTCAACTAGAGTGTCGTTCACTTTCATATGACATCATAAAAAGTCGCATTCGGTCAGGTCTGGTGAACCTGGAGGCCATGCGATAGGTGCGCCCTTAACAAACACTCTTTCCAGATTATGTTTCGTTGAGATGTTCCTGTACGACTTACGAGTAATGTGGTGGACCTCCGTCGTATTGGTACCACATGTTTTGTCCGGCATACAGGGGAACAGTTTCTAACAGTTTGGAAAGGGTTTCCTAAAGTCGATATTTTTTCACGTATGCATTGAGCATCCTTTGATGTGAATAATTGTTGCTAATAAATACTGCAAGCATTCCTTGGGATTTGTATTATTTAATAGCACAGTTTCTGATTCAAACACGCTTCTCCGTGAATAAGGTAGCTACCACAGCACGGACTGTAATGTGCTATTATCACCTAAGCGAAGCGCATGCGCCTATGGGTTTTTAAGTAAAAAACGTTTATTTTGGCGGGATCTATCATCCCTGTATAAGGTGGAACATATTCTTAAGCCTGGAGCCTGTTTCAGCAATGTTGTGTGCGATGTTGAAAGTGTGTGTCGTAATTTCACCCAAAATGACTATATTATTGTTATGGCAGGATCAAATGATTTTGAGAATAATAAATACCTACGCATGAAAACTGTTTTTTGGATTTGGCCAGAACGTGTAGCTGTGCAAATCTCATTTTTTTGTCAGTTCCTTTTGTTCATTCCTATCATACTAATTTAAGAATTAATAAGTTTAATAATCCTATGAAAACGCTTGTGGGTAAGTTGAATTAATTTACTGAAATAAATGCTCATTTTGTCGATTGCAATTTTAAAAAGAAGACTGAATTGAATTTTACTTACATTACTGACACTATCACTAAAGTTAGTAAAATATTTATAAAAACCAATTCAAAACTTCATTTTGGAGCTCCACCAATGTCCAATACCCCTTCGGGAACTGCTTTACCCATTGGGTTAGATACTACGGTTCTAGATCTGCTGGATGACATCGGTGCTGATGGCATAAATGTGAGTCGGAAGTAAGTATTGATGGGTATGATTGTCTCAGAGTGAATAGCGTGAGTAGGCATACTGGGGGTATACAAGTTTATGTAAAAGAGTGTCTTAAGATTATTAAAGTCGAAAGAGTATCTTTTGAGAAAAACTATTGGGTGTTGAGTGTTGAGATTGAGGTCTGTGGTAAAAGTCTTTTAATTGTGTGTTTGTATCATTCCCCAAATGTTAGTGATAAGGTGTTTCTGGACTTTTTCAAAAATTGGTGTGGAGATGTAATCTGTGATAACAATAAACTAACTGTGATATTGGGTGACTTTAACATTAATATTCTTCGTTCCGATACTTACCCTTCTAGATTAAAAAGAATTATTGATGATAATAGCTTATGTCAGTTAATAAATGAAGTAACAAGATCATCCACTGATGGAGGAACACTCATAGATTTAGTAATAACCAACCAATCGTATAATGTGGTGTCAAAGGTATGTCACATACCTAGAATAGGGGACCATAACGTTATTGCCTTAGAAATATCAAGTCGTCAAGACCTGCGAAACTCCACCAGTTTTCATACAA